CTCAATTTGCTCAGCACAATACTACCAGCTCAAAAAGTAAATTAAAGAAATTTTAAAAAGTGCTATCCATAGTAGTAGAACATGTATATGGTTTACCATTGATTCAGTATTGAATTTTGTATCTGATTATCCTAATGTGGCCTGAAATTTAAGCAGAAATTTAAATCTAATACCAGTTCTGATGTCCTCTGTGTGAATAGAAAATTAATGTGTTTCCGCCAGGTTTCCCTTTAGAATGAAAATGCAGTAGTTCTTTAACATTAAAAGAAAACTCACAAATTAGCACAGTTTATGAGAAAAGACATAAATTCTGTGTATGTTTCTAGATGACTCAGTTATAAAATGTTTAGTTTCCCACAATGTCTAACACCCTACTGTTGCCACTGTAAGGTTGCTTCTAATTCAGGCAGGAGAGAGGCAATTAGCTATCTGTCAGAGAAAAAGAGGGTAGACCTTAGAAAGGCAGTTGTTCATACTGTGCTGCAGTTATAACGAAAAAACAAAAGAAGTAAAGTGAATTTTGTAATAGAAACACAAGATAATAGAATCAGCTACTATGATGAATCAATATAGGAAGATCAAAAGCGTTTTGTATTATTTCATGTAAAAATTCACTTGCATAGAATCATGACTCAGCGGTTCTCATTGGGTCACACATTTTGCTGTAAAACTCACAAAGTTCTAGGCAACCTGTCTTTTGTAATTGGCCATTTTATGGGAAAGCAATACTCTATGAAAGCTTATAGGTCTTTAATAACTTTCTGTAATTATCCCTTGTTGAATGAGCCCCATCACCATCTCTTAATACATTTCTGGGAGGAGTACTTAGGGTAATTCCTCTTAAATTAGGGACTTTCCCAATGAAGATACTAATGTATAGTTTGTTTCCATAAAACACTGACTGTACATACAATCAGTGCCTGTTTAGACTCAAAACTTGCTGAGACTTAGAGTCCCAAGAGATCAAGGAGAAAGCCCCAGAAGTTACAAGTTAAGAAATATCAATATAGGACAATCCAACAAAGGATAACTGCAGAAGGCAATCAGAAGCCTCTACACACATTAGTCATATCAGATAGGCATGTGAGGCAGAGGAAGCTTTGATTAGATGGATTTGTGAGGCTCTTTTTTAATTGATTATATAGGGCAAGAGAATCAAGTCATCATTTTTCAAAGGGACTCCAATATGTGCCATCAACTCTAGTGCTTTAAAGAGATGCACACAAATGAAAACCTTATTTGGACCACGTTTCCCCTGACATGACCAATGTCATTGCCAGTCAGCATTGTTTAGGTTCATTGCCATCATTAAGTTAGAATTGGTTATTTTAGTCTTTGGAATTGCCAGTATACAATTAGAGTCAGTTTGAAAATATGGCTTAATTTACTGAATTTTTTTTGTGGGAAATATTTTGGGAATATACACTACTGTTATTAAAGAATTTCTGCAGAAAAGTCACTTCATATAAGCATTTTGTTTGTCGTCCAGTTGTTTCAGGCATGTCCAACTCTTGATTATCCCACTTGGGGTTCTCTGTAAAGATACTGGAGTAGTTTGCCATTTCTTTCTTCAGTTCATTTTATAGATGCGGAAACTGAGGCAAATAGGGTAACATAGCTAATAAGAATCTGAGGCTAGATTTGAACTCAGGTCTTCTTGACTCCAGGCCTTGTGCTCTAACCACTGCATCACCTACCTGCCCTTTCTAGAAGCATATTGAAACTTAATCTTTAACAAATAAGAATATTTAGAATAGGTGAATTTATTGAACAGGGGGTATATTAAACATTCAGGGTGGTATATATGAAAACTTGTTTTAAAAAAGCAGACAGAAATGCAGTATCCAGTTAAGATCGAGTCCTTTGTACAGAGTAGTCTTTTTAGAAAACAGCACAAATTGTTTTAAACAGCTGATTTCTTCTGGCACTACTTAAAGTTGTTTCTCTAGGGAAGATATTTTCTCAATTTTAGCTTGCTAATCTACCAGAATGTTTTGAAATATAAATTTGAGAAAGTTACATTTTTATTCCTTCCATATGACTGTGTGTGTTATGTGTACTTCATATGGTGACTAATGATAAAAATAATTGAAGTTTGTCACCAATCTCCTAGCATCCGAATTTTGACCTTGAGTTCACCCTTCAGGGACCATTGCTACTCTGTGATTGTTTCAGAAGTGTTTACTTGATGTCCCGTGATCAACAATATTTCTGTTTGTGAAAAGTAAAGAATGTAACTCCTTCCAGTTTTCTCTTTTGTGTTGTGTTCTTTCCCAAACCAATCATGGCTGTGGTTCTACTAGTTTGTTTTCTTATCCTGATTTCAAAGCAAACATGACCCAGAGTTTATCTCTGCAATAACCTTCCCTTGTAGTTTGTCTTTTCCATGTCAAACTAATGATGAAGGGATTTTTGCCCCTCCTTGCCTTCATCCCTTACAACAATTAATTCTCAAATACACTTATACATAGCTCACAAAGCCTACTTGCACCTAATTTCTTGTTGAGCAGCTAATCTGATGGAAGTAGATGCCATTTCTACATTGAGTTGATTTTCTTTGGCAAAAGATACATTGGATAAAAATGGACAAACTGAAGCTAAATTTACACAAGAGAGAATAGTATTCTCCATAACCAACAATAGTGTTAGTGGATCACAAACTACTCCAGAGTATTGGTTAACCTTTCTCTGCAGGTATGTAATTCTGTTCAGTGAATATGATACTGGGATAAACCTAAACAGATATCCTTAAAACACAAGTAATTATCCTCCTTGGATCATAAATCCAAAGCAAAAAGAACCACAGAGGTTATTTAGCTCATTTTACAGATGAGGAAACTGAGGTCCAGAGATATTAAATGACTTGCCCAAAGTCACACAAGAGGTACCACTAGAATTTGAATCCAGTTCCTCCAACTTCAAATCCTTTCACAAGAATTCTTAAACATAGTATGAATTTTGTAAAAATATAAACTGAGATAGTAGTCGTTCCACAATTAACACAGGACATCTGAAAAGTCTTAGTACAGTTTTAAGCTATTAAACATTTAAAGTGAACTAAGATTTTTTGAACATCCTGAATATGATGCCATAAATTTCTAGGCCTTTTAAGTTATTTCTGCTATGGGAGCAAAACCATATGGATACTCATATTATGTGAAAAATATGTTATTTCTTTATTAATGTTAAACAAAGATTTTAAAAATATTTTTAAATTTGAACGTATAATTTAGAACTATTCTCTACCTCCTAGCACATCTAAAGCAGGTAAGGCCAAGAAGGTTCACTGGAAACTCCAACCTCCCCTCACTCACCCTGCCCTTGACCTCCCACCATATTATACCCACACTTTAACATTCCCAAAATGTTAAACACAATTAAGTGTCTGTAGTCTCAGAGCAGAGAAAATTTTCCTCTCAGCCATATAATAGTTGCCATATAGAGAGGGCTCCCAGGCCAGCTATCTATTCCCTATCTGGCTGCACTCCTTTGGACTGGACTCCATCAAGATTGTGTCCCCCAAGAATCTCATTATCAGGAAACTTCATCCTTTGAGACTGCATCAGCCTTGTACTCATATCTCATTGGGGCCCTTAGTACCTTCTGCCCCTCTGATTGGAGCAAAGAACTCCTTTCAGAGCTTCCACTTAAAGTGGAATCCTGGGCTAGCCATCTCTTTATTTTCTACCTGGCTACAATCTTTTGTACTGGGTGCTATCATGTTCGTGCCCTTCCACTCCCTTTTCTGCTTTTCTTTTGGTGTGTTGTCTTCCTCCATTAGATTGTGAGTTTCTTAAGGGCAGGGAGTATCTTTCTTTTTGTATTTATATACTCATAAATTAACACAGTTCCTGAAACCCAGTAAATACTTTCTGCATGTATATTGACTGACTACGTCATTACTGTCACAAAATTTCATTTTTAAATCTAAGTTAACAAAGTTGACAGCAACTGAAAGGTGAATCTGGAAAAGGCCCAATATCAAAGGGAGGGAGATTTTAAAGATACACCTTTATATAACTTGTTATTTCTGATTAAAAATATTACCCCAAACAGAGTCATGTTCCTCCATTTCATTTCTAACATAACTTAAAAACAATCTTGTCTTTCTTACTAATTATTAAAGGAAAAGTGAACAGGACACATGGAAAATGAATCTTCTTTCTACTATTTTTTTTGCTTACAAGATATTTTATTAACTTCTTAATTACAAATAGACCAATCATAAGCTCATAGGCTTTAGAATGTCTAGATCTTTGATTCCCTCCTTTGTGCAAACTCCTGTGAAACAAGAAGTGCTATTATAATTCACCTGAACTTGGGGTAACTCGTAACAAATTATAGAATTCAAGCCTAAGAAAGAATGTGACCAGCCACAGATCACCAAAAATATGTATGTTTGATGTGAAAACAGTACACTGGTCTACTACCAAATCCATTAAAAACCACTTATCCCTCACCATGAGTTTTATCAGCAAAAGTTCAAGTACCAAAAAGTCATGCAGCATATTATGTGTTCTATGTTTTTATTTGGAAACTTAAAATTTATTTCTAAATGGTCCTGGCTATAACGCAGTGAAGAACACTGCAAATAATTGTATAGCTTATCTACGGAAGGAGGATGTACATTGGTATTCAGTAGGCATGGGGCTCAGTGCTAACACTCCAAAAAAGTTTTGCAAAGTTTCTATCCTCTCTCCACTTATCTCCTTCCTTGAGCTTCAGGCAATATATTACTCACTGGTGCAGGCAGAGACACAACCATGACAGTCAACAGTTAGAGTGGCAATAAAACAATCTTATCATAGGAACTCAGTCTCCCACTCAATGGCATTTAGAATGAATGATGTTTAATTATTCCTCTGGTAGTCAGAGACATATCAAGTGCAATATAGACATTTCATTTGGGATGTTTCACAGTCAATACATGACACCATTCAAACAAATGAACATACAGTCAAAGAGAACAGAAGCAATCCATAATGGGAATCCTACTGTACCTGGTGAATGAGGCGGAGGAGAACACATCAGAACAACCCCCTGGCCTTCCCTCACAGAGACTGCACTTCTTGTCCGGCCACTAAAATTTCCCAGATCTGTCAACACAATACAGCATTTAGATGTATGACAGGAAGGAGCTGAAATTTTTATTACTATTATAACTTACATTTCTCTCTCCCACCATCTCATTATTATGCTGACAATGCCTGTTTTGATTTGTTAATCAGTGATAGAAGGCTCCTAAAAATAAATCTATACCATCTTATTTTAACTACAAAGATTTTTAGGTTACATCAAGTTATTTATTACTTCTTGTAGTGAACACATATGTTGTGAGTGGGGAGATATTAAGCAATACAACATTTATAACAGACATTTAATAGCTCTTTTATTTCTTTATACCATTTCCTGCTTATTGATTTTTTCCCCTTACCAATAAAAGCCATCCATGCATAGTGAGAAGAGAAATAAAGGTGGTGAGGGTTGTCTACTGTCTAACCTGCTGCCTGTGGAGACTCATTATATATGTCACTGTAGGAATACAGGATATAGCAAGTACACAGTTGGAATTTACCAAATTATAGAGACCTGGGTGATCTCACTTAATATGAAGAGGATATGAAGTGTCCTTTTCTTCTAAATATAAGTCAGGAGGTCATGTTGATTCTATTCCATGGAAGTTTAAGAATGGACTGAATTATTTAATGGTGCCCATTCATTTTTGATGCAGGTCTATAGTTCTGGCAGTGTTTCTGCAACAGGAAAACCCACTAATATTTAGAAGAGATTACAACATGGAAGGTCAATTCCCTATCCCTCATGTAGGCTGCACTTAGCTAATTAGAATGGATATTTGCTTTAAAAAATATTGAGAGAAAAAAGATAAAGTAGGACAAAAATCCTGTTGTATTTTCATATCTCCTATGTGGAGTCTCCTTAATGCTTTCTCCTTTCTCCTTTCTCAGCCTACACATCAATGGTAGGCATTTTACGAAATAAGAGAGAAGAAAAAGGAGTTAGAATATGTTTTGGGAATACATTGGACACAAGTTTATCTTTTATACTTGGTATGACCAGATCTCAAAAGAAACTGTGGTACATTTAGACAGGGGTCCTTAACACTAAATGCTAAGGCCAGAGAGCTTGACCCATTTCTCTTTAAACATTGCTTGAATGAATTCCATAGCTTTTTTACTGAAAATCTCTTATCTTAGATCTTTTTTGCATCTCTACACTGATCTGCTTTAGCAACATAATAGCTTGGTTCTCCCCCCCCCCCCCCCCCCCCCCCAAAAAAAGCACATTCAAACTGAAAGGAGTTTCTTTTAAACTGCCAAGCTGACAGGGTCAACACCGAATAGGCTCTGTGATGTGATTTGACGACCTAGGTGCCCCAAATATCTTCCCTACAAGCTAGCCATTAGAATTGCTCCTTCAGGGCAAAGTATTGTGTTTCCAGAAGCTGCTTTTAAACTACAAAAAGGTAGGGCAACCCATTAACTCATTGGTTCCCATTAACACATTGCAACCCATTAACACCCTAGTAGAATTTAATTTTTTTTTCCAGATTAGCCAGGGAAATCAAAAGGTATAGCAGTCACTTTGGTTTCCAATCACACCCTGTACCTTCCCTACTCTTAATGACCAGTTACTGTAGGTCCTGTACCCTTGGTCATGTAAGCTGATTAGAAAATTTTGCAATACTACACGTAATTCTGGATCTGGTTTCTAAGTCTGTTACCCAAATTTCAAATTAAATCAACAAGAATAGATTACTACTGAGCTGAATTTTAAAACAGCCACTGTTTCAATTCAGTTGATGTTAATTATTAGTATCAAATCAACATGGTTTTATGGTACATTGAGTGAGTCAGGAAATATAAGAGATATTTCTAAATAAATTACCTTTAAATTTTCTTTAATGAAGGCTCTGGACTGCTATAGAGATATGTACTCATTGTTACAGTTTGAGTTAAATGGAGCATACACAAATAGTTATTTAAAATAAATATATATGTATTTTGTTACATTAGAGTGGTGCTAGTCTTATAAGAGCTCTCTATTTACCAAGGGGAAAAAAAAAGACAAGAAATTGGCACTCCCATCATTTAAAGACTATATATTTACTATCTGAGACCAATTTTATTTTTATTGAAGGAAGGCAAGAAGGAAAGAAAATATAATGATCCTAATAACAACAGCAAATCTTTATAAAAGCCCTTTAAGGTTTAGAAAGCTCTTTACAGACATTATCTCATTTGGTGGTTAAAACAGCCATGTAACAGAGGTACTATTGATAATATTATCCCCATTTTGTGGATGAGGAAACTGAAGTTTAGTGAGATGATTGGCTAATCATACAGCTAGTGTCACAGTGAGCTTCGGTCTTCCTGACTCTGAAGATAAACAATTTTTTAACTACACCTTTCTCACTCACTAAAATACTGTTTTAATTTATTAAAAAAAAAAGCATACACATCTTATTCCTGTACACCTGCACCTACAGTAAAGACCAATCATTATATCCATTTTATCAATATTCAATCTCTTATTCAGTCATTTATCCATTAGGCTATAATAGTTATTAGCATTTTCATACAGTTTTCAAGTTTTTACCATGTTTCACATGTATTATCTCATTTGATCCTCATAGCAATCCTGTGAGGTGAGTACTGTAGGTATTGTTATGCTCATTTTATCGAGAAGAAAACTGGGGCTCAGAGACACTGACTTACCCAATGGCAAAAAAATAGAAAGTGACAAGGGTCAGCTTCCAATCCAGATCTCTCTTGACAATGTCCAACATATTTTCTCTTTTTCTAAGCTCACACTATGATTTGAATATGCCAAGGAGAAGACAAGGAGGAGTTTTCAATTCAATTAGAATTCATGCAAGGCACTGTGTTGGGTTCTGAGAGTAGAAAGATAGATTCAACAAAGATTCCTCTCTCAAGGAGCTTACAATATAACCGAAAAGGACACATGCAAACAACTGTGATATAAAGGAGAACATAAGACATTTAAAGGGGACATGTAAGAGAAGTCCTATGGCAATTGTGAAGAAAAAAGATCACTTTCAAGAGGAGGATGAATGAGGTATGAGTTAATGGCTTGACCTAAGCCGGACCTTGAAGAGATGAAGATGGGATTATGAGTTAGTAAAATATAATATGAATGGGAGAAATGTGCCTTAAGACTGTGATTGTGGAGATCGTTGAATACCAGCACAACCTCCTATTAATCTAATTAGCTTATATGAAGCCTAGGGGTAATATGATGGTCTCTCAGGTCCACATGGTTCTCTATTATGATGCTTTAGGGACTTGATATTAAATGACAAGTTAGGAGCATAATCATTATCATTCCAAGACCCAGTTAGGAAAAAGTTTCTAACATTTAGAAAGAGGTTTGGCTCTCTGTCTTAAATTATATGTGTACTTATTTCTAGCTAAACTCTAGTTTTTAGATGGTTGAGGCAAAATCTAGTTTACTGGAAACATTTGGTTAAGCACTAGAGTATATTGTAGTGTTTGATAATAGGTAGTAGGAGGAGAAGTTGGGGAAAATGCAGGCCTTTTCTTGGATCTTCTAGTGCTCTTTGAAAAAGTGGTATACCTGGTGGCTCCAGCTGGTGTCTTTTGCTCCATGATGCCTGCAGGGCTGATGTCCCTTCTTTTTCTCTGCCTTGTCTGCCATAGTTAAGTCTTACTTCCCTTTTGTCTTTTGCCCTTTGTCCCCATGTTGTGGATTCTTTCCCACCCAGTTCTTGTCATTCCCCACTCCATCCTCTCCTCTGCTAGACCCTCAAAATCTCTTTCAGTTTCTGAAGTAACTCCATGTTTTTGTATAGATTCCTCAGTTAGAAACCAAGTCCCTAATCCACTGGAACAGACTTCCTGTCCTAATTGAAATGCTTTTGATTGGTTCCAAGAGGTGTACGGACGTTGTTAATGTGTAGTTCTGAAAGACTGACTCAATCAAGAAGTGTTCTGACCCAGCAAAGGCAATTAATTTTAAGTAGAATTGGGGGGTGGGTGAGTTGAATCAATGGAGCCCTACCCCCCCATCCTTATACCAGGCAAGAAATTTAGGCTTTATTTGTTAGCTAATGGATATCTATTAAAAAAGTTTTTGAATAGAGGAATGTCACCAGAGAAGGACATTAGGATGATGGCTTTAGTAGCAGTGAGAATCAGGTGAAAGTTTGAAAGATGAGACACCAAGAGCAGTTATATAGCAATACCAATATTTCACATGTAGAATGATGAACTCTTGATCTGGGATCATTGTAGTGAAAGAAGAGAGGAAGAAATAGATCTGAGAGGTGCTGGAGAAGTAGAATTGTTAGGATTTACCAACTGATTGGATCTAGCCCATGGGGTAGAGGGAAGAGTCAAAGATGCCTGACTAGTAATTATAAGCCTAGATTACTGAGTGTAGTGTGGATAGTAATTCTTTGACTGGCCTGTGGAACAACTTTAAAGGTTCTAAGTGGAAAGAAAGTCAAAGAAGTAAAGAATCCCTGATCAGAAAGGGAAATATGACAGTCTAGAATTTAGGTATCCAGGTGGTATAGTTGATAGAGAATTCCTGGAGTTAGGAAAAACTGAGTTTGAATCTTGTTTCAAACACTTACTAGATGAGTGATCCTATGTAAGTCACTTAACTCTCACCTTCAGTTTCCTCATCTGTAAAATGGGGATCATCATAAATCACAAGGTTATTGTGAGGATCAAATGAAATCATATGTGTAAAAGTCATATTTCGATGTCAATTATTAGTTTCAAGTGAAGGTGAGGTTCTAAGCTATGACAATCCTAATGGACTAGCTCACACCAACCGAGGAATTGAACAAGCTATAGGATAAGATTTCATTGTGGATATTGAATAATCTAAGGATGATAGTAGAGAAAGAATGAAAATAAAAAAAAGAATGAAAATGTAATGTAGAAGCATGTGCTTGGTGGAGTTTAAATCCCACAAATTTACATTATGTCCAATCAGCATAATTTTATATTTCCCTCTTAGAAGCACTCTGGGACTTGGGAGTGATCCTTTTTAGAGGAAAAAAAAATGAATCTTAGGTGAAGTTGTG